CGCTGAATATTTCAGTTTTGCATTTTCTCTCACTCTTTTTTGTGCTCCCTCCCTTTTTTTCCCAGCCCCCTTTGATGTGTCTGTGGATTCGTTATCATTCCGTTTGGATGAGCTCACAGACGCAGATGCGTGAGCACTTGCGAGCACACACACACACACCATGTGTACACACACTCTCACTTTGTGTCTTTTTATACAAGAGACCAGAGGCATCCACATGCAAGCGTGCATTCTAGTCTGTTTGTCAGTCTTTTCCATGCGCTGCTCCACCCACATCACAGCCCATACAATTCTTAAATACTCTTCTTACATGAAAAGAATATTTGCATAAGCAATTACAGTTGGCTCTGCGAGGATTCACTTTAATGTGTACTCTTGTATTAACTGTACGTGTATGTAAATGTTTATATACAGTCCTCGTGTCTGTACATCCAGCATGTGGCGCACACACAAGGCAGCACGTGGCATTGTGTGGTTGGGGCAGTCCGGAAAACGCCGGCATCCCTGCACCCCTCCTGTCTGCCAGGCGGCTGGATGGCGGAAGCTCTTTCACCCTTTTCTAGCACAAACACTCCACTCTCCTCGCCTCCCTCTCTTCCTCCCCTTTAAACAGCCGTTTAGGATTGAGGGATGAGAGGACTTCCTCTTTAGAGAAGGCACATCTTTAATTTAAGCGTCCTCTCCTTCCACTTTTCTGACCAGAGATCCATTTAAAGCCAATGGGCCGCCCTGGTGCTGGCAACCCTCTCCTTCCTTACCCTCTCAGTTTCTCTCTGCCAGGCCTCCCTGACTCTTTTTCTCTGTCCTCTCATCTCATCCTCCTCGCTCTGTTATTGATGGTGACAAGCTGTCTACCGCTCTAGTGACCACACGCAATCACACACACACACACACACACACACACCCACACACACAGAAACACCCACAGAAACACCCACAGAGTTATTCTCAGAGGAATCACTGAAGGTGCCATGTGTTCACCTGTTCTCCTTAGCTTTAGAGCATGATATTTTTCTGGCTGTCACATACTTGAAGTTAGCTGCAGTGAATTTTGCAGCGTATCCTCAGCGGTATAGGCCCAGCTGCCGGTTCCAACTTAGTCATAGCTCATTCTTTGAGTTGAGTTGTCAGTCACACACAGAGTTTGGGACTGTGGCTCACGAACAAAGGCCTGTGTACATGCACGTGCACACACTCCGTCGTCTCTCAAGCGAGACACACGCCCATTTCATTTCTGCTCTGCCTTGGAAGTTTAAAAAACTTGCTATTTGTGTGACATCCTCTTTTCCATCTTCTTCTCTCTTTCCTCTCTTTCTTTTTCCATCGTAGTCTCTCCACATATCCTTTGTGTCTGTCTGAGCCCGGAAGGCAGTCGTGCAACGAGACTGATTAATAATTACAGAGTACACAAAATTGGAAGAGAAAAAAAAAACAATTTCTTTGTCGTTTGATGTCCAACATGAGAGAGACCAAAATTACAAAGAGACAGAACATTATAAAGAGGAGAGAAAGCTTGCACATTCTTTTTTTCAATCCTATGCTTCTGTTCTTTGCTTCTTTTTACTGCCTTATTTTAATTTTGGTGTTTTTATTTCCTGTTGTGTTTTTTTTCATTCCTTATTATATCTTTATAAACACAAAGTTGTTGCTTTAATTATGGAAAATGATTAGTCACTTTACAAAAATGCAAACGTTGTGATTGTGTTTGTGAAGGCAATGACCTGCTATGCTTTCATGACTGTATTAATGGACCATATCCTTGAATCTTATGAATTTTAACACACACTTGACAGTTAAATGTATGGAGAACAGCTTCTTAGTCCTCCTACCCTCCACCCCCCACCAGTTAGTGTTCCTGTTGTAATTTTGTAGTGATGTACTTCTTATTTGTTTTAAATTCTCACCCACTGGCCAAAAATGCATTCTTCCCTCTGCTTGTCTGTCCACAGGGAATAATTACCCAACCAATGTTAGTGTTAATTTGCAAGGGAGCGGGAGAAAAGCGAAAAACACACACACAGAGTACTCTACACACCACACACTGTAAAAGAACATGCACTGCCAGTCATATTCGTTCCCCAACATTGTCATCTTTGTGCATTAATCAGAAGAAGGGTTTTGGAAGGCTTCAGTAGCTGCTCTAGTGAACTGGAAGCTGCATAGCATTTTGTGCCTTTGCCGCCTAGAAAAATTGCTTCAGTTCGAAGTTGAACAGTTGCACATTCATTGTGGATGTTGAAATTGTCATTATTTACTATTTTCAGTGAGATTAACCTGTAACTTTAGTAGTATATAGCACAAATGAACAGCACAGACAGGAGTGCAAACGGTCCATAGATTTTTGTTCTGATTTTTGTGATTCAGGGCAGCATAAAACAACCTGTTCTTGTGTTTACTTGGTCTAGAAAACATGCATTTATCTAACAACCACGGTTTCATAAAGTTATCCTCGATGTAGCTCCCAGCGAGGTATTTTCAATAATAAAAGAGTCATCATTCATCACAGGCTGAACTCAAAGATCTAAGACTTTCTCAATGTACACAAAAGGCCTATTTCTCTCAAGTATTGTTCACAAAACTGTCAAAATCTGTGTTAGTGAGCACTTCTCTGTTATCCCATGATCAGACAGCATGGGTATTGCACAGGTGTGCCTTAGAACTGTTGAATTGAATGTTCATTTCTCTACCATAAGCCGTCTCCAAAGGAGTTTCAGAGAATTTGGCAGTACATCCAACCGGCCTCACAACCGCAGACCACGTGTAACCACACCAGCCCAGGACCTCCACATCCAGCATCTTCACTTCTAAGAACGTCTGAGACCAGCCACCTGGACAGCTGCTGCAACAATCAGTTTGCATAACCAAAGGATTTCTGCACAAACTGTCAGGAACCGTCTCAGGGAAGCTCATCTGCATGATCGTCGTCCTCATCGGGGTCTCCACCTGACTGCAACTTCGCACAGCCATTGAAGAGGAGTGGACCAACATTCCACAGGCCACAATCAACAACCTGATCCACTCTATGCGAAGGAGATGTGTTGCACTGCGTGAGGCAAATGGTGGTCACACCAGATACTGACTGGTTTCCGAACCCCCTTGGACTCCCCCAAATACAGTGAAACTGCACATTTTCGAGTGGCCTTTAATTGTGGCCAGCCTAAGTGCTCACTAACACGGATTTTGACAGATTTGTGAACAATATTTGAGAGTAATAGTCCTTTTGTGTAGATTTTGTGTAAAAAGAAGCAAAGATCAGTAGTCTTAGATCTTTAAGTTCAGCTCATGATGAATGGGGGCAAAAACAAAAGTGTTGCATTTATAATTTTGTTCAGTGTAGTATTGACAGTGCGTATAGTATTTGTATACATTTTTATAAATGAGACCGCACCTCTTCATCAGACAGAACTGTCAAATCATTACAATCCATTTCTATCTTCAGTCTGACTTTGCCTCCAATTTGACTGATTTCTGTGGGAAAAGATTTTCCCCAACCAATCAATAGAGACTAACGTATCTGCCTGAATCTAACATCATTTGAAGACAACACTGATGCATAGCCATGCCAATATACTGGTTTTACCAGGGTTTTAAGAGCTGACCAAAATAAATAAGACTTACTTTTATTTGATTTATAATGGCCTGTATAGCAGCATCTGTCTTATCTATAGCAATCATTCTCATAGTGGTCATCATTGTTGTGATTTGTTGTTATTAGTCCAGAAGAATCTGTCATCTCAGTGAAGTGGGCTGATTGAAAGGTCTGGACCCAGGCAAACCACTAAATGATATTTCATGACAGTGATATTATCCAGATTTCTGACTGGATTTCGGCAAGACGGTGTCTTTGAGAAAGGTCATGTAATGGATTTAGGATGGATTCTTACACAAATCCAACATGAAATTCAGATGACAAATACTTTTGTCATCTGAGCTGATTGAACTTGTCAGATGTGAGCACGTGTTGACATAATTGCTCATAGTGAAGTCTGTGTCCAACTCAAGAACAAATAATTTGTGTTACAATGCGTGACTGCAGTTTGTCCATTAGTTATGATATAAGTGGCCATTACAGTAAGCGATTATCTGTGGTGTAATCTGCCAGACATGTACATGCTCTTTTTTTTTTATTTTAATTTTTTTATGTTTGATGCACACATTTGTAAATCTTTATGGTGAAATTATGTTTAGGACGTTAGCACGTGATCACTGTCTGTCGGTGGGGTTTACAAAAATAACACCTTCACACTTTTCCTTCACTTCCATTCTTTCTACCTTCTTACCATCCACCCCAACACACACTCCTGTCCCCACACACACCTTCCGCAGGTTGGGCTTGACAGCTGCTTGGTATAGCTGTACATGATGTGGCTGGGCCTCCTGCCTGGGCGCTGACAGCTCTCAGAATGAGGCTGTCCCTCTTAGTGTGTGTCTGTCAATCCATTCAGCCTGAAACTCCTGATGACCTGACATTTGCCAGCAATAGCAGAGGTGTACCTGCATAGAAGATGTGCACACACACACAAAGGTAGTTTAGACAATACATAAGGTAGAATTGCTAAAATATGCTAAAAATTACTTTTCCATCACTCTGCGTTCAAAATCAAAATGACAAAAATATTAATAATAGAATACAATACAATTTTAAATCACCTTTAGTGTCAATCAGATATAATAAAAATATTACCTTACACCAATACAGCAAATCTCATCACAACAATTGTACAACAATGAATAGAACATACACAGAGTACACATTCAGCTCAGATGTGTATGGATAAATGCAGTTTGTTCATGATTTGATTGATCCATCTTTCTATTTTCTCTCTTCCTTGAAACCACTGTTTTGAAATGTTCTATAAAAATAGAAGTCACTTACTTTCTTAACAAAGCATTTCTGGATTTCTGGCATGCAGTTGCGTTGCTATGGCTTTGTGTATTCATTTGTGTGCATGTGTGTGTGTGTGTGTGTGTGTGTGTGTGTGTGTGTGTTTGGTTTGAAGGGAGATGGAGAGCCAGCTGGACAGAGCCAGGGAGAGTCAAAGGCAGCAGATCCAGCAGGCAGATATGGCATTGGAGCAGTTCAAGAAACAGGTGGAGCTCAGCTCTGAGAAGACCTATGCTGACATGAAAGTCCAGGTCTGATATACACACACACAGTACTACACATTGAATTCACTTTGCGTTCCGAAAGCGGTATCCATACACATCTGTTTTCCATTAAATGTATGCATACTGTACATCCAGTCTATCTCTAATATCCATGCACATACTGCACATTAGTATTGTACTTTTTTTTTTCTTTTTACGTTTGCTGTTGAGTGCCTAATACAGATGCATTTATTCAGACACACATACTACGGCGTTTTAATAATTATTAGCTAGACTGAATATTCATTACTGATATCCACAATGCAATTTTGCCTAGTCAAAGCTCTAACTTTAGATATCTGTAATAACATTTTGACTTAGATTCCAACTATTTTAGCCGTTCATGTGTATGGGGTTTCTCATTACCGATATCTACAATTCAGTTGCCAATATCTGCAAATTAATTATGACTAGTTGTAATTCCAGTTTCCGATATCTCCAATTTAACTCTGACTAGTCATGATTCAATTCAAAATATGTTTCTAATTATATATATATATATATATATATATATATATATATATATTTCTATTTAAGATATCTACCTTTTCCTTTTCACATATGAAATTTTAACAAGTCAGAATAATGTTGCTGATCTCTTGAGCTGGATTTATGACTAGATATGCGCATACACACTTTTACCCTAACCTTCTTTCATGTTTGCTATACCACAAAGAAAGTGAGCTGTTTGACAGGCAGTAACCAAGACAATACGCACGCACACACGCACACATACACACATACATTTTATAATAATGTAGAAACACAGCCTGACCACAGATGCAACAGGGCGCCACACTGGCTGCGCCTGAATTCCTCCGTATGTCTCTCTTTCTCCGTCTCTCCCTTCATCTGCTCACATACTGAAAAAAATCTATAAGTGAGAACCAAGAACATTATCATCCCCGGGCCGTTTTCACTCTTTGTTTTTTCTCTTTTTTTCCCCAAATGACTGAAATGATTTATAATCCTGCTCATTAAACAGGTGCACTCATTTCTCTGCCGCCACACGTTGACCTCACTTCTCTCGGTGGGTGTGACGTGGGATGGTTGGGTTTCGATGGAGAAGAGGTCACGCACATTAAGCAGTCAGACTAATTAGTACATCAGGCCAGCCTCACGAACAGCTCTCCACACTGCGTGGGCTGTTGCTTATTGGGAGAGTTCTCCAATCGATGTGCACTCAGCTATAAACTTCTGTTGCTGTCAGTTTGGCTATAGGCATTTTTTGTCAAGCATTTTCGGCTATACTGTGTGTGCGCCTTATTGATGAGCAGCACCGAGTGTGGTCCTGAATGTTTTAAAGGGCTGCATGTTAGCAAGATTAGCAAGTTTTAGTCGCTTATTAGTGAGATTTTTTCGGCTAATCAGTAAGTTGGGAGCACATGGGGTGTAAAATAACGAGGAAGTTTGTGTAGGAGTCAAATGTATGCATGCATGTTTGAGGGCACACAGAGCAACCTTTGTTCCCCCAGACTGAATTTAAAATGTTTGTCGTTTTGACAAAAGAGATCAAGTGGGTTGCTTGCATCCAAACCCTAAAAAAGACAGAAGGCACCCAAAACGAAATGTAATGTCCTTTGCTGTTCAAGTGGAAAAAACACTGTATTCAATGTTGTAGAAGCTTGGACCCTTTTGGGGGAAAAAAAGCACACTGTCTACCAATACAGAAATTATTTTCTATCTTACTAAAAAAGTGGCCTACACATACTGCGCTTTATGAGTAATATGCATAGGATGTTTTTTTTTTAGATTGTAGGCACTACACTGATGTTTTTGCTGGCAGCCAGAAAACTTTGGTTTGCTTTCAAAGTTGTTCCTGCTTTTTGAATACAAGGCAACATGTGTTGTCTTTGTTTTTTTTTTGTTTTTTTTACTAGGTTGTGGAAGTCGTCTTTGTCGATTGCTTGGAAAAAGTCGGTATTTTTCCTCTTCCTCCTCCTACTCCTTTCTCCTGTTCTCATCCTTCCATCTCATGCTCTGTTCCTTCTTGTCCCATTGAGCCCCTGGCATCCCAGTCACCAATCTGACTTTATCCTCAGCCCACATCAAAGCCACAGGAGAGAGAGGAGCAGTCTCTTGTGCATCCCTGTCATCCTCTCTCCTTCCTTCCCTCTCCCCCACCCCACTTGTGCATCGCTCCATCACGTTCTCCTGCTAAGGCTTTAATGTTGCAGAAAGTACTTCAAAAGAAGTTTTTTTTTTTTACTCTCTCTTTTTTGATCCCTCCATCTTGCCTCTCATCATCTTCTCCCTCTCTCTGTCTGCAGATGGTGTTATATCTAAATGGATTATCTGTATCTCTCTCTTCCGCTGTCTGTCTTTCTCTCATTTTAAAATCAGCATCCCATTTCAAGACTGCTCTTAAAGGATAGAGTCTGCCCTATTTTGGTTATGGGGAAAAAAGAAGCACCATACGGAATCAAATGTCTGTTGCGTGCACAGTTCAAAGGAGGCTTCAGCATTTTAAATGGATTAATCAAAACAAATTTAGCATTTACTGAGCGTTACACACAGCATAGGTCGGATACAGAGGCGTTTCAGTAAATTGCATTTCATATTGTTTTGATTATCGTCACCTTAGCAGAAAATGTGATAGTAGTAGTAGGCTGCAAGTTGACTTAAAGAGGTGGTATTATGCTTTTTGGCTTTTTTCCTCTCCTTTATTGAGTTATATATCTTTTTTTGTGCATGTAACAGGTTTGCAAAGTGAAAAAGCCCAAAGTCCCACCCCAAAGGGAGTTCCCATCTCCCACAGAAAAAACTGCTCTGAACTGCCTGAAAACAGCTCGTTTGTAGTCCAGCCTTTACTTCCCTTTCTTGTGATGTCACAAAGAAAATACATGTCATAATGCTCGCTGAGCGAATCGTCTGACACACCCTCAAAAACACAGGTGGAAAAACACTGAGCTGCAATACACCTCTCTTCTCCCTTCCAAACACTAGCTACCCTCCAAGCAGTCACTGGACATAAAGTTGTTACTGTGATGTAGAGACAGAGCTTAGTTAAAACTTTATGGATGAAAAATACTTTTGTTACAGATTAATAACTCATCACTCTGAAAGTCTTGCTCCAGTCCAAATTGCCAACCTGGTTGGCAACATGTAGCCTACAGCTGAATCGAAGCTGTTTACCGTCTTTTCGCTGACCCGCCTTTCTCTGCTTCTGATTGGCTAGTAGTCCTTAACTAGGAACTGTGCATGTGCAACTCCCAACAAAGATCATTTAGAGACAAGATGTATCACTCCATAGCTAAAACGAAGCCTTCAACACAGGGTGAAAAGAAGAGCTGCAGCAATGTGCAGTATGACAAAAAATATGGTGTTTTTTGAAAATTAAACCATGTAAATCTGTTCTGGTACAACCCCTAAATAGGATTTTGAACCTGAAAATGAGCATAATACCACCTCTTTAAGATAAAAAGCGTAAATATTGTTAAATCCGTTTTTTCCGGAAAAACACAAAGTCCTCAAAGAGGCCGAAGTATGTGACTTTCTTATTTTTAACTGCTTTTACTTGAGTCCTCGCGTTTCAGCTATTTTTATGCACCTGTGAATGTGAATTTTGATGTAACTACTGGTATTACATATTTATAATGTTAATTATAATATCATATGACAGCAGTTCATTAAAGTCAAATTAAACAAAAAATATTACAGCAGGATCACTCTGCTGCAGATGTGTGGTTTTATTTTGCAAGGAATGCCTGTATTAGATTCATTGTACTTAATGATGTGATTATGCTTGCATCAGCTAGAGAAAAAAAATGTTATAAAGGCTTCTAAAATATGAGATCTTGAATGGGATATTGTATATAGTTTTCAGCAACAAATGTGTATTCCAGATTGTGAACAAAGCCTAAAATGTTTTACATAAACGTTTCAGAATTTATGTATTTGAATGTTGATTATTTTCCGTCAGTTAAAGTAATTGTAAACTTTTTTTATTTTATTTTTCTCATGCCTCCAGATGGAGAAGGTAGAGGAGGACCTGATCCGGTCCAAGACCCTCAGGGAGAACCAGGTCAAAGAGTTCTCTCAGCAACTTGATTCACTCAGACAGAAATATGAGCAACAGGTCTGTACGAGTCTGCAACTTAATGTCCGTCTGTGTACAGCGTGTTTGTCTGCCTGTATCTCTACATATGAATTGGTTTCTTGCTTCTGTGCTCATGATGCAGTCAGTGGAAAGAATTCTCACCTTGCTTCCATCATCATGATCATCAACACATTGTTATCTTTTCTCTATAACTCTTGGCCAGCCAAGGGGGACTGACATCCATTTGGAATCATCTTGTTATTCCTCCCCATCTGTTCCATCTGATTAATTTCTCATGATATGGGACACGCTTTAGATTAAGCTTGGATTGCGTCTCAATGAATATCTTAAACATTGCCAATTGAAATCGAATGCAATCTGCGTAGCAGATGCACTGTCTCCTTATCGTCGCATCTCTGTCACTCTTCTTCGATTAGGAGTCTTGAAACCATTTTCACAACTCATTGAAATCTAGTTTGCTGATAGGATGACATATCTTATAGAGAATCAGATTCAATTAAACCAGAGAAATGGATATTATCGGTGGAGGATAGTTTATAGTTCCACTACTTACATTTCACTTTAACCTTTTTAAAAAAATTTTTTTTTTTTTTTTTTTATTGTAATTGAATTTAATCTAATCTTTCAACCTCTTCAGACAATGACATGTTTTCAGTTACACTTTTGTGTTTCCTTCTTTTATGTAATATGTGTGCAACTATGGAGTAATGCTCAAACAAAAACTGTATGTGGTTCAGTAGTGAAATCCCAAATTCACATTACAGTGAGATATAAGTTACAAGATATGGCTTCTGGTGTACTTAAATAAATAATCACAAATTCAACATCAGGCAAAATAATATTATGCTGCCTCATACGCAACTAATGGTACCATGTGATACTGTAAGAAAATGTACATTCATAGATATATATCCCTAGATTGCCAATAAATAATTCATAATTATTTTATAAGTCTCCCTTTAAATTATGTTTAAAGAGCACTTACTAGTGTAGCATCTCTCATCCCCATCTGTAAACACAACATGATTCATTTCCAGCCACTGAACTTGCGCTCAACCTGACGCTTAATAAGCATGCCAACACTCATTTCCAGTCCAGATGGAGTTTACACCGTGTGTAATTTGCTGTAGATAGTTGTAAGTAGAGGATATGAGACCAGTGTAATTTTCAAGTAGTGGAGAAATGGTTCCCCATTATTGATTTATTCTGTGGATGAACACTTCTGTTTGTAATTCTAATGACGTTTATGGGGGAAAAATCACACTTTCAAAAGATTTAAATAGGATGTATGATGTTTTCATTATATTGGAATCTTTTTTTAAAGATCCACTTGAAACATGTTTAACTAGGGAAAGTGGACATCTTCACAGAAAGCAGACAACAGACATTTTCAACCCTCTATAATGATCCAGTAACAGAGAATTTATTTTATTTTAGAGAGTGCCAACTGCAGTGTATTGTTCTGAGGAATCATAAATTCCATCTCATGTGAAAAACAGGTAAATAATCAAAGCATTGCAGCAAATATTGAAGTGACGATTATCATTGGCTGCTACAGAGAGTGGGGGGGTGCAGTTGACAGCTGAAGCCAGCTGCATAGGGTTAGCAGCACATCAGGAAAGCTTTTGTCTTAAAGATAAAAAACCATATGAAGACAAAGGGCTTGTCTTTGTGATGATGGTGATATGAGTGCTGGTGACTTTAACTACACAATTAAAATGGTAAAGAGAAGAAATAAAGATGTGTGATTATTCACGTGTTACTGTGAGCGCAGTTTTTTTAAAAATGTTGTCTGCACATTCTGTATATGTGTTTTTGCGCAAAAGGGCGACCACGAGCACCGGCCTCCTATGCGTGTGTGCATTGTGCTTCCACTCCAGAGAGATTGGTGTCACAAGATTGCACAGGTCAAGTTTGTCCATTCAGTTGCTCACAAAGGAACATTCCCTGAAGGGCAGCTTCAATGAGACTTTAAAAAGGGAACTATGTATGAAGGGGTTGTTTTCCAGCTGACCCTCCTGGCAGTTTGACGTCATGGTGTCCCATCAGAGCTCTGCCTTTTTGACGTTGGAGTGATATAGTGAGGTCAAACGGCTGGTTTGGAGTCATGACCTTGAGAGTTAAGGGGAATCTCAACAAATAGGGGCAATAAATAAAAAATGTCTAGTTTATAGACATGCAAATGTCCACACATATGGACTTATATCCACACTTGGCGCCGCTCACTGGCCATCTTCAGTTCAAACTCTACAGTGGAACAAGGGGTTTGTCTTCTTCTCATCTCACCCTCCCCTCCCACACTCACCCCAGCCTCCCCTGCTGAGACCAGACAGGGCTTCTGTTCTGCTCTCCTCTACACCCTCCTCTTTCCTCCTTTCCCAAACATTTCAGATCCCCCCCCCCCCGGGGTTGAATGACAGTGAGGTAATCCCCATTACCTCACTGTCCTGTCTCAATGGGTGCAATGCACACACACACGCGCGCACAACCATGACAGGAGTCGTATTGTGCATTAACACCCGGCCCACTCTATATCTGTGACACCAAGCTGTGCTATAACCAACTCAGTCTTCCCCCATAAACACCACGCCGGTCCCTTTAAGAACTGTAGCACCCAGCATCCTCCGCTGCACGCTGGTGCTACGTGATGTCACCCAGACTCCTTGCTGGGTCTGCTGTCTTGTCATCTCCTGCCTCTTCGTGTTTTTCTTATGCTCTTTTTCTCTCAATGGATCTATCTTGCCCATTTCTTCATTCTCGTTTCACCTCAGGTCCCCTCTTTCCTCCAAAACCCCCATGGCCAGAGACTCTAAACAGGAGCGAACAGAAGCCTCGATGTCCTCCCCCAGTTTCTGTTACCGCGTGTCCTGCTGCCTTGCTGGGGAGTTCTCGAAGCAATTGCCTGCTTATCAGTCTGTCAGCTGTAACTTGTGCTGCTGTATGAATCTGACTATCCCTGTGGGACTATGTATTCTGGCTGTGGATCTGATGATTTATATCTGTTATGTCCTCTAATGGAAAATGAAAGCGGTGCAAATTTGTGTGTCTGTGGAGTGTACTGTAGACAACATCAGTGTCACCAGTGGCACCATGTGGAAGATGCTGCCCACATTCTGCATGGTGTTTATCTAATGGTGCTCTGTGGTGTTCTATTATGTACTGGAAAATGTCATGCGTGAGGTACCTTTAGGGTGTACTTTGTGTGTCTGTGTGTGTCTGGCATGCCATTAACTGAACCACAGACATAAAATACATTTTTATCCATCTGTAATTCCATCCACTGCCCTTTTTAGAGGGCATTTAGCAAAGATTTCCCAAAAGCTGAAGGGTAAATTCTTGGCTGCCAAAATGAAGTGTCTATTGTGGCCTTCCTCTCAGTGCCGGGGGACGGAATCCGGCTTCCTGTAGATAGCTCCTCATTCATCACCTGCTCTGAATAGCACACAACGCCCGAAGATAGGGCCGTGGATAGAGCAGGCACCGGGCATAGAGGCGGTGGATCTCCGCTTCTCTGGCAGGCCAGGTAGGGTGCCGTCAAGCACAATGTGCAGGGGATTAGCTTCAAGGCAGGGAGGCGACTGGGCCCCAGGCCCCTGCTGTCCTTTCAAGGCTCCGGCTGGGGCTGCACGGCGGGATGTGTGGGGGTCACTGGTCCCCCCGCCATGGGGGAGTGGGAACGGAAAGAAGCCTGGGAAAGACTTGGGGCTGGGAGCTCCGCTGGCAAGGCTCACCTCTCAGCAGGTGACTCCGCTCACAGTCGTGCTGGGATGCAGACTTGCTTCAGATGACAGGATGATTAAGCCCTGAAAAATCTGGGATTTGTGCCCCATTATTTGCCTCTACTGTATTGTGTGTAGCTGCTTGTAACTCCAGTGAGACTGAAGTCTACTGTATGTTTACACCATAAAGCCTCCAGGTTGATTGGTGCGCACAGGTCTTTGCTATACTCTGACTGCAGATATCCTTCATTAGCAACATTAACCCCAATGATAGCAGACTGGTAACTGCTCCTTGAGCATTATCCCATTAACTGTATAAACATGGGAAACGGATAGTGATTAATAACCAGAATTAATAAAATTTATCCTGAGAATATAATTACAGGTAAAAGCAGTATCAAGAATCTGGCATCTTCACGGCTCTCCTCAGAGTTTCTGCTGTCCTTGCCTCCCTCTCCAGTTTCTGATTTGAGTTTATAATCATCGTAGTCATTGCCTAAGCCGATTTTCTCATGCTGTCAGGCGCATAGCATGGGGCATTTGGTAGTTACTGCAGCCAGATGGCTAACCCCTACCAGCTTGCATGCTTAGCCCAAACTAACTGGTCTTTTATATGCCGATCGCAGAATAGGGCGAGGGGGACAGATCTGAAGAGAGAGGAGTGGGACATTGAGGGCTGGTCTGTACAATTGGCAGGAGAGGCGGGAGGGCGCGGGGGAGCAAGCCAGATGTAAACACATCGCATCACGTCGTCCTTCTGACAATGTGAGGAAGCGGAGAAACTTTTCTCGCCCCCCCCCCCCAAAACACCACCTTCCAAACGCTTTCACCAAATTTGTTGGGCACATGGGTGTTCTAGGTGGAGGGAAGGGGTGGAAGGAATAGGACGAAGAAAGGTTGAATGGATCGGTGGATGGACAAGTTGTCATGACGACAGGGTTGCTCTGAGTGTGTGTTGGCTGATGAAGTCTCTCTTTGGCTGCTTGTCCAATCAGATGGCTGAGCAGCGCATGCAGCACGAGCAGGAGAGGACGCGGCTACAGCAGCAGCACAGCGCGGAAAAGGACAGCCTGGTCCAGGAGCGCCAGCAGGAGGTGAGCAGCCTGGAGAGGCAGGCCAGGGCCGCCCTGCAACAGCACCAACAGCACACCCAGGAGTGGAGGAAGCGCGATGCCCAGGTAGGGGGTCTCCACTGATCCACGCTTGCACACACGCACACACCCGCGCGCTGACCCACCGCTCTCCCGTGGACAACCATTTTGTATTTTGCCCATTGACGTTTTCCTTGGGTTTCAAAAGAACAGCGGGTTAAGACACTTGAAGCAAGACAGATAACAATATTGGGAGGGAATCATTTTAAAGATTGCTATATATTTGGTGCAAGAGTACAGAAGAATTTAAATATGGCTTTTTGAATAAAAACAGACTTTATTTAGGTGAAAACAACCGTGCGCGTAAGAAAGTTTTAAAAAATGTAATTAACAAAACAATAAAAATCAGTGTCCCAACTTCCAGCGTTATTCTGATGTTTTTTAAGTTTTTTTTTTTTTTTTATCGCTGCAGGGCTTTGTGATAGAAGTGTAAAGACTTGAAATCCAGAAACCACAGGTAGCCAAATGAAGGAGGAGAATTCTGTTCCGTTGAGCACCAAGCTTTTATTCCAAACTCCTGGGTTGAAATTTCTTTTTATTTTCCGCTGTACGGTTGTGGACCAGCGTCAAGCGTACTCCCACGAAGTGTATCTCTGTATGGCATTCTCCTCTCACCGCAGGTAGCCAGCTGCCTCCGGAAAATGGTGGTCATTCTCTTATTTCAGCATTGGCGGCCACAATGAGCGGATGACATTTGGGTCTATATTAATGACCATCTCTGACACTGAGAGGCGATTCTGGTACAATTTAGCCAAACCAGCAGCAGGTCTTCATCTCATACCCCTCGCTCTGTCTTCACCTCTCTCCAGCCTGGGCTAGCTTGGAGCTCTGTGGGAAGCCATTTGACAAACAAGCCCCCAGCTGGGGATGTGTTTAACTCTTTAGGCTTCCTGATGAAATGGACATTGTCAGCGTGCAGAGAATTTAGTTTATTGGCCATTAGCGGGAGATAGTGATCCAGTCAGACATATGTCGTATTTGTGGACAAATTGTGCTCAGACCAAATGTGAGCACACATGGTGCCAGACACCAAATGAATGGCTAAGAAATAGTACTTTACGTAAACTATTTTATGTTTTATTTTGTCATCACTAAATACAATAATTTAGTGGGGTCATTTAAGAAATAATTAACTTTTACGTTTACTTTTTATGGCAGCGATTGCAGTTTGAAAACATTTTCTGCACAGTATCTATTTTTCTTGAAATGCAACAATATGTGGTGACTTAAAAGACTTCCCAATTTGTCCAATTGCAATACATTTGTCTTCCCTGTTTAATAATTCAATGTTCACATTTTAGATGTTAACAATGACACAAGAAGGGATGCTAAGGTTCAAAATGCTGCTAGCTCAAATGTCAAAATATTCTGTCATTTGTTAACCCCTTTCACATTGAGGTAATTACTTTATAGACCGCTAGAAGTCATCTTATACCGCCATACCAGTATTCTAGAAACAAAATCTCTTTAAAAAGCAGGAAGCTGTAAAACAGCTTGTTTTTTCCTTTTCATTCCCCCTCTAATGTTCCCCTGTCTAATATTTTTGGGAAATGTCTTTCACAGCACCGATGGCACCAGCTAGTGGTTTGGTTTTCTGGAGATGCCGTCACAACAGGACATTTCTGCTGATAACATGCCGTCCTGCTCGTGTCAAAGCGACGTGTAGTTTGACAAATCTTAGGATCTCAGGAGGTGACAGAAAAAACAAACTTCCCCAGTACTCATCTCATATTCTCAGTTCCTGTTTGCTCGTGCAGCATTTTGAGTAGAGATCAGACGCCTGTCTAATGTCAGATGTTAAAGTGGCAGAAAAAGATTTTTCGCTCAGGCCTTGGAAAAGATGGAGGACGGGTTTGTGAGGTTTGTGAAACTAGTGGGGGGACGTGAGCTGGTTTGACTTCCTGTGTGAGTACTGTTCCACGGATGTGCTGTTAAAATGACATGAAGCTGTCACACCAGCAGTAGAGATGTATTAAACATGAGCTCTTTTACATTGAACAAAGCCACTTATTATTAGACACTTTTGCATTACAAAAGTTGTAAACCCCTTGAGAACTCGCTGATAGCAGCGTGGCCCCCGTTGCCTTTCAAAACAGATAACACACGACAGTGAAAGTTGTAAAAATATGATTTGAATGTTTAAAAAGAGTAATTTAGTTGATGCATACAGAAAACATAGAGCAGTGCTTGTAAAGCAGAAGCCACAGCTTCCTTTCTCCTTAAATTTCTCTTGTGCTTCTGGGGGTCTCAGGACTTTCCCCAAATGCCTGCTGCTGTGACGATTGAACCCAGGCCTCATTATTTCTGCCTCTCTCTCCTCCTCACACTCTCTCTTAGTTTCCTTAGAATCAGTGAGAAGGACGGTTGCAGCTAGGAAGCTGGCTAAAGGAATAGTAAATGTCAGCCACACACTCATAGGATGAGTAATACCCACTCGTCCCCTTGATGTGGTGGGACACCAATAAATAGCATTCCTGACTCTCGCCTTGCGTTTGAGAAGGAGAGCCAATGAGTCGGAGCAGCGATTCCAGGGAAGAGCTAAAAACAACTCACACAGGGACACATTGTCTTCATCCCACCAGAGTTTGTTATCCAAGGGCTTCACCCACCATGCACCAGCACATTAAAAAGACTATATGACCCATCTGTTCACAGATGTGGCTTCTTTTGTGTTCAAGATGATTATATCATTCAGTATTTGTCAGCATTCACACTTTTAATTTATCTGTCCTTTTAATTTCTGTGATATTGCTAATCAGAGAATTTGAATTAAGCCACTGGATTCAAAGCCTGGTGTGTAGTTGGCATCTCACCAACTGAGGAGGATTAACTCAAAATTTCCAGCCTTGTGGACCTGAATGTTGACTTTCTCTTAAAATTATTTCTTAAACCCCTTTTTAAAGATGTGTTAATTAAAGGAAGCTTTCAGTTCGCTGTCTATCCAGGGCAAGGAAACATCTTGCTGATAAAATGTGTTTGCCCACAGCCAGTTCTGTGTTGTTCTGTTAGCTGATCAATGCCCCCCAGAGGACGGAGGGGTTTGGGGGGGATCCCTCACCAGTGTATTCTCTAGCATGCCCATATCCCGATGAAGTGGCGTTTCCTCTTTTTTGCCTCTCTTCTAGAGATATTTTGATAAGAAATGTACAGTGTGCGCACAGTGAAATATAGTTCTCCTATACTGTGTTAAACAGGTTTAACACAGTATAGGTGATTCACTCTAAAGTCACACTAGACATGACATTTTCAACTTGCCACAACATATTTTTAGGGCATTTTATATTCTTTACAAAATCAATCTTCCTTATCTTCCAAAATGTATTTTAAAGCAAATTATAATTATTATATTATACGATGAAGCAATTTAATATATTTAACTGTTGCTTTTGTTCTTAATTTACAGTGTTTTCAGTGTTAATCATTAGAGTAATAAGAGTTTGACTTCAAAAACTAGGGCCAGAATTATAAATGAATTTGAAGCCTTGTTTTTTTGTTGCAAACAACATAATTGTTTGTTCTATGTAAAACCCATCATTCATTTTTCCCCCACCAGCTCCTCCTCAGTCTTTTTCTGAAAGGAACGCACACACCGTCTGGACTTCAAACGGCATGGGAGAGTGCGAGAGTCTTGTGAGGTCTGTCTTCTGGGCCGTGATGGACTAAATAATGATGCTGTCAATTTTTCAAAGCATTTCAATATACTAAGTATGTGATTAAGATGAGTCAAATGAAGAGGTTGATGACAGACTAAGTCAAAGCTATGAGGATGTCTGAAGAGAGTAAGACAGACAGCTAGACCAGTGCGCACATGCATTGTCTCAGTACTTGTGTTTTTGTATTTTACCAAATGACTGGTCCCTGAGATCTGGTGTCGTCAAGTGGATGTTGTATTGTTACTCACTGATTTCCAGTAGTGGATGACTGTCCCACTGAGCTGTCATTTCACTGTTGATTCCTTAAATGATTCTTAAATGATTTTGTCGCATATACATCTGAGTATTTGTCAGAACCCAGCTGATTTATTTATTTATTTTCATCCAGAGCGATTGATCATGGGCACATCAGTCATCAGTGAGTATTGATGCTGTGTGATGTGTCGAGGGTTACAGCTCTCTTTCAAACCATAAAGCCATTTAGTAATGTGCATGTATCATCTTGGATAGACAACAGTAAAGAAATTCATTACATTACATTTTCTTAGTGCAGTCAAATAATCCATGTATTATATATTTCTCATTCTAAACACTAATACATTATTTATCTTTTGAGGGAGATATTGTCAGGTTATTTATTTGGTTGTTTTTTTGTCAGTTATGGTACTAACACAATGGCATTGTTCACATGAAATATACACATACTGTTCTTTAAGATACACTTCCATACTGCACAGCTGCATATCTTTCTTTTACTGTACACACAGAGACACACACACACACACACACACACACACACACAGAGTTTTATTTTCAGGACAGCAATAACTTACATTCAGTTACAGCAAGTGACACAGCTGTGGTTAGGGGTAGCGTGAGGGCAAGATAAATAAACGGATAATGAAGAGAATATTTATTAAAGGGGAATACGCTTATTTGCTTTCTTGCGGTTAGAGTTATATAAGAAGATTGACGTCACTCATGCATGTATGTGCATTAACTATGGAGCTACTGGCTAGAGTTGATTAGCTTAGCTTAGCATAAAGACTGGAATCAGGGGGAAACCGCTAGCTCTCTCTGTCCAAAGCTCAGAAAAACGCCTATGAGCACCACTAAAGCTCATAAATTAACGTGTTGAATATATTTTATAAAGTATATAATAGTATTTCTCAAAATTCCAAATTATTTCTTTACAATTAAAAACTTAACATAAGTTAGGGATGCACCAATCTAACTTTTTCAGTACCAGTACATGGGCTTTGTGTATCTGCCAATGCTGAGTACTGATCCAATACCTGTGTAAAATGAATAAGCTGTATTCCTCACTGCCGGGACAGAGACTGGGGATCATGCTTTTATGTGTAAGGTAACATCAGGCTTGACTTAAACATTGCTTCCTAACTTTGTAAAACAAAATGCAACAAATAAATATGTATTCTATATATTACTGAATTATTTATTAATAAAAGAATAAATAAAAGTGCATCAAGAACTTGATAATATTGAAAATATTTCAAATTAACGTGTAAACCTTTTAATGCAGCAACAGATTGGTCAGGAATGTACATTCCTGTATTCCTGCATCTGCATTAAATGATAAAACCTAAACTTTTAAGTCAAAATTAAGTTGCAGACAAACTTGATAATTAAAATCACAATTCACACAATAAGTAACTTAGTAAAAACAATACATTCAAAATAAACAGATGCAAATATGTATTTAAGTTCCAGTATAAAATAGAATAGTAGCTGAAACTGAGAATATAGAAGTTACATCACGATTCACAAGCAGTTTAAAATTCGAGAAGTTATTTTTGTCGCTTTCACACTATCACTGGGAAGTTTCTCATGTCTTTGCAATGCACTGACAAAGTTAACTGCTTCTTTGAGTTGTCGCCTTCTTTTGTTAAGTTGAACTTGTTGTGTTCTTTGACATGATACTTCTGGAGGTGCTTGATTAAGTTGGTTGTGTTATATTTTGCAGTTCTACTGCTACCCCTCGAAACACTGGCTTTGCAGATATTTCAAATAGCTGTAGAAGTTGATGGCATAGCACCGTGAAATACCTCCAAAATGCTGATCCCTTGTTTTTAGCTCCCTCCATGCTATGCTAGCTCACTTAGAATAGATCGCCCCCCTTGTCCCTGATACCCTATCCAGCTATTTGATTCAGTATCTGGCCAATATCAGAATTGGTGCATCCCTACACATAAGTTAGCACCCCAAGTCAACAGAGTTAAAGCTGAAAATGTTCCCCCTCTCATGCTAATGCAAACTATAAGCCGCTTTTCTCAGCCATTTGAGTTGTACAGTAACTAATAAGATTAATTATGGCTTCATTTCATTTAGGTGTGCCCATTAGCCATGTCAGTAAGCCAACATGCACAGTATCAGGGAACTGGCACTGACACGCCTAGATGGAATACAACTATATAAAATGTTATTAGTTACACTTGTGTATGCCAAGTTATAATATCCGCGGAGAGAAAGGTCTTTTGCTTTAGCATGTTGCCTTCATGCAATGCTTTGGTTTTTTTTGGATGGGAAAACATATCACTTTCTTCCCTCGTAATTATCTTGAATATAACAGTAATTCACAAACATTTCCCCAAAATAACATATCAGTAAAATAATAAATATGTTAAGCCTAGACTAATGTTAAAGATACACTGAACCCATTACCCATTTTCCCATTTGTTTTTTTAATCTGTTTTGGTATATGACATTAATCAGAAACAAGAAATTGCTTCTTCTTTTATAAAAACATGTCAACACTCTTCACCAAAAGATAATTGGTATTCTTCCTGCAAGGAAGGCCAGTACATTATAGAACAGTGAAAAGGAGTGTCTGCTTTGGCTTTGTTGTGGTTGTAATCAAACAAATTCAGAAAACTTCCAGTTTTCCAACCAATCATGTTAAAAAGCACTTTGGACTTATTGTGGTAAAGTAATTTTCCAAAGTAATCTACACTTGACTTGGCGCTCCTATCTCCTGATTATATTGTATATGGTCCGTTAGCCAGAGTTCCATCCTTTTCCTTTATCTCCTCTGTTGTTCTGCCAGTCTTTTGTCGTCTTAGCTGACATGACTTGACCCAATATATTTCATTTGACACTCTCCTATTGTCACCAAGAGCTGCTTCATCAAAGAGCCCCACATCAGCATGCTAACATGTGCCCTGCTGAAGCCGCCGTGCTCAATCTCTTCATAAGGAAACATGCTCTTTTGGCCTCTTAAGTTTCTGAAGTGTCATTGCCAATGCCTCTGTTCTGGAAGATTATATTCTAACTAAAAATTTTTGGGGAGACGGATCATCCACATTTGTTAAAGAGAGAATTATACATTAAAGACTCTTCAGGGCTCAGATCTAATAGCTGCTTGCCCTTGAAGGCCCAAGCGGAGCAATGAGACTGGTAATGTTGAGAGACAGGGGAGTGGGACAGATAGATAGAGGATTGCGTGTGTTTGTTTTTTCTTTTTACCGCGTATTCTCTCTTCTAAACGTGTTGCATGCCATTGTATGTGTATGACAGTTAGACTATGTGTGGCTGTTTGTCTGTGTATGTGTGTGTACACAAGTTGATCTGTCAGTGTGTGCTAGTGTAGGGGGGAGTATAACACAGAGCCACAGCATCTGCCTGTTTTTGTGACACTTCTTTTGAAGTCTCTTTGATTCTCCCCAGTGCCCGCCAAAAAAGACTTCAGACACTTTCTGTCTGATTGCCTTAACATGGTGTTGTCCTGGGATGCCCAGGCTTTTGAGGAGTAGAGGAGGGGTGGGAAGGAGGCAGAGCACACAGTGTAAACCAAAGTAAAAAATAAACCAAGTAAACCAAAGAGAGTAATGAGGATGTGCAATAGCTGGGGAATATGTGCAATATAGGTAGGGAAGTGTGAAACAGAGCCACCTACATGTCACTACAATGCTTTTTACTCATTTCTTGTTGTAAAATGGAGGGAATGATTATATTATACTGATAAATGTAATACCTGTGGTGTTACTTACTGAACCATTTAGTTTGAAATAATGTGAAGCGTACATTAACAAACGTCTTTCACTTTCTAGGCCCTCGTTTTGCAAACAGTCTTCATCAGATCAGCTAAGTGCTACAGTTTTTAACAAAACCGTAAGCTTATCTTTCCCATTTCCACATTTCCTAAACTCTTGAGATGTAGCCTCACTGCACGTGTCAGACCAGTCTTATTTCTGGTGTTTCAGAGGCCGTGGGGTTGTGCTTATTAGCATTCCTACTATGTAATGTTGACTCTCACTGGCAGCACTATTAAAGGGCTGTTCTGGGCAAAGTCAAGGCTGAGCAGTTCAAAAAGAGAGGGGTCAAGAGAGGGGTCAGGCCATCACAGAAGCCTCCACACAAACACCCAGAGGAAAACAAATATTTAAGCATGTTTGTGAAACTTTCCGACTAGTTAAAGTGTGGAGGCACTCCTTCACACTCTGCAGCAATCTATCTCTTTACTCAAATCGTGATTCCTATCGGTATACAGTGTGTCAACATTTAATTTAATTTCAACATCTCCCATAAGGGTACCATTATACAGAGATGGCAAATAAGGATGTAATCTGGAGATATTTGTTTCTATAGTTCTCTCTCTGTTCTTTGTCACTTACCTATTCGTCAGAGAACGTCCCAGTTTGTAGTCCATCAAGACATTGACAATGCATTCGTCAGTGCCAGAAATGTGCAAGTTATGAAAGATTTCTTAAATAAAGTACATTAAATAAACACATTTAGACTGATTTCTGCATACCATTAAAGATAATTTCCTCAACAGGACTATGAAATCTTAACCTAGGAGCCCCCACATCTCGGAGCCACACGATGTCTGTAGTTAATATAGTGAGAGTTAATATCAGTTATCTAAATCCACTATACATCTCTGTATCTGTCACTTTCCAGACGATTTCAGATTTGGAAGCAGAGTTGTCAAGTCTACATGAGGATCTTCAGGCTGTCCACGCACAGCATAAACAACAGTTGGCTGAGATGGCATTACTCCGGGAGGAGGAAAAGCAAAGGGCGTTCCTGGACAAAGAGTCCTCCCTGGACCGGCTTCGCTCTGACATGGAGCGCCTACGCAGCGACCTCGAGAGAAGCCACCAGCACGAGAAGGACGCTGCTCAAGAGAAGGTGGGTGACGGCCAGGAGGGAAAAGATGGGATAGGGTCAGTTTCCAATAGGAGGCTGTCACAGTAATCTGTTGCCTGTGCAGATGAATGCCTGTTTAATTTAAGGTCACATATAAAGTGAGTTAGGTGAGGAAAAGATAGTGAGAGGTAGAGAGATTGTGTTACCTCCTACATACAGAGGAAATTGTTGGTAGATGTGTGGTGTGCAAGAAAACTGCACTTGGGGTCAAGAAAGAGGGCATGAAGTAGCTTTGTTAGGCAGATTAGGTTTTTGGAAACCTTACACACAAGGATTTGGCAGCCCTAAAGTACAATTTCTCTTATACACAGCTGTAGTAAAGTTGGACAGCTGTACATGTGTGTTTGTTATGATTACATTCCTGTCGACAACTTTGTGCACGCAGCCCAAACATCAAGCTAGTGCAACAACACGAGGCATAGTAATATTACTTACTAGTCCACCAGAAAGAAGGCCAGCTAAGGATCTCTCTTGCACCGTTTTGGCTCTTTTAACTCATGCCAATGAGTAAAAGTATTAGTCCTGTATTTAGTCTTGTTCGGCCCCTGCTTTGTCACCCTTTTTTTTTTTCTGTTCCTCTCTTCCTCTGACTACATCATCTTGGGTCTTTTTGCAGCCTCTGCCATGAAATCCATACTGAGGGGATACCAAGCTAGCTTTCCTTATAACTAGCTTGCTGTTGAGTCGTCTTGGTGTGTGATGTGGTGCCATAAAGCATTACTCCGTTCTCGCAATGGGTTTCCTGCCTGGGATTCCAATGTTATACAGTGCAATACCAGGCACAGCGGTATCAGAGTGGCAATAACATTGACGGCATTCTCCCTATTACAAGTCAGTGTACCATCAAAATGATTTGGAAGCTGTTATTTTAAGATAAATACATACATAATGTTTCAAGACCGGAAATCTGAATATTCTCAATCAAGCTTTTTTTATCTTCTGTATGTATCACTTATTTCCTCTCCCACTGTCTCTCTGTATGTCTGCCTCTGTTTATGTCTACTCCTCCCATAGACATTTGTCAGAGAGAGTGTGAACCATGTTGTCTGGATCAAGCTATTGTTTTTCATCAGTGAGAACAGATTGTGTTTGTGTATCTGTGTGGGAATGGGACTGTTTATATATCTCTTTTATTCAAAGCCCTTTACAATTCACCTCTTATTCTCACACACACACTCCCATACTGATGACAACAAGCTACCTTGCAAGGTGCTGGCCAGACCATTGCAAGCAATTGGAGTTCAGTGTCTTGCTCAAGGACACTTGGACGTGTGGACAGGAGGACCTGGGGATCAAACCGCCACCTGCGATTAGTGGAGGACTCGCGATACCTGCTGAGCCACACAGGAGGAAGGCTTGCTTAACAAAGGTCTGCTGTATTCTACCTATTCCACAAGCTGGGGTTAAACCTGTGCATATGTCCTCTCAGATGCACCCACACAGCATCAGCCTTATCAAGATACTTGAGACACCCTGCATATTACTATTATAGTATTTTACTACATCCAAGATTCTTAAAGAGAATTGGGATATACCATTTTGAAATGTGCACACACAGTTAGGGGACTGGACTTAAGGGTCAGTCATAGAGGGGAAACTACAGCATTTCTGTCATTATACAGCTTTGCTTTTTGCTATCTTAGTGAACCAGGAAGTACTTCAATTAGAACTTCTGAGGCTGTCCCTCTCTTTCTTTCTCTCTTTCTGTCTCATGTTCACTCCCCTCGCCACTACAGAAACTGCATCCACGGCTGGGAAATCACCCATAATCTTGTGCTGGTCTAGCAGGAAGCTGACCTAAGGTGGTGTTGATCAGAACCTAATCCCTCGGCAGGGCCCATCAAAGAGAGCTTTTTTCATTAGACACCATCCCGCACCAGCTGCACAGCATTAGCCCCGGAATGCAGGGACTTCCAAAGCACCCAGGCGGCCATTTTGGCTCCATATGGCACACAGAACCAGGGGTACTAAGGGGAAAGAGATCCGAGAAAAAGAGTGTGCTTATTACAGGGTAAATTTGAAGAAATCGTTCAATTTCCTATCAGTGCCTTTTTCTTTTTCTTTTTTTACTTTTTGGATATGTGAAGTCTGTTTTGCAGCTAAAAGTTATTTTATCTTTTTGGCACACTTTAATTCCTCTCTTTCATACACGGGGGGGGAATGACCCACAGTTGTCTGGGAATCTGGAGTGGATTCAAAGCAGTGAGGCTGAATGTTGAACTTAAACTGATAACAGTATAAGCAATGTGCTAGCTTCACTTTTTATGAAAGAGATTAATGATTTCTCTGTCCTTTTTTGTCAGCTGAAAGCGCATGCTTCTAAAAAAAAAAAAAAAAAAAAACTCACCAAAGGTTTAACGTCTTACTTTCCCCCCTTTTTTTTACTTTCTAATCTGTCTCCAAGTTTGACTTCGTAGTGGGCAGGGAGAACTTTCACTACTTTTTTGTGCCCTGTTTTTTTTTTCACATGGGATTGAAGTCAGCCAGCTCTCAGATCCATATTGACTAGTTCGCCCTGTTTTGTAAGCTGAAAAATTTCATTCTTTTGAAGCAGACAGAAATGCTGTCCTCTGCAGTCCACCATGCTCTTGGAAGCAGAGCCTGGGCCGGCTCTTCCGTTTTCTTTTTTTTTATTTGAACACATCTCCCAGATGCTGGAAAAAAGGCCAGAGAAATCCATTAAATCCATGAATGGATTCCCATCAAAGACGCATGTTTTAAGGGGGAGAGAGAGGGATACAGGGGGATGTTTTGGGAGTAGACAGTTGAAGCTGTTGGAATAAAATAATGAGAAACAGAATATCAGAGGAGATAAGATCAGACGTTAAGATAGTTCCATACATTTGAGCTGCATCAAAAAGAAAGGAGGAGAGAAGGAAAAGTGATGGAGGTAGGCTGAGTAGAAGGTGTGTGTGTGTGTGTGTGTGTGTGTGTGTGTGGGGGGGGGTTGACATTGAAGTTTATCTTTGTGTGTGTGGCTGTGTTCATGGGTGAGACTGAACGTACACAACCCCAGACCTCCCAATCTCCATTCTCCACTGAGGGGCCTGTGAAGCTGCCTCTGTGCCAGATAACAACGCCTCATCTCTGGGCTACAGTGAGCACGATTCCCTCCTCTCACACACACCACCTCCTTATCTAACTTTCTTATTCTCCTCCAAACCTCAACCCTCCTCTCCATTTCTCTCTTTCCCCCACGCCCCCCCCCCTCCCTTCAAGTTGTGGCAAAGCCCAGTACATTGGGCCTTTCCAGAAAGAGCTGGCCTTACCAGAAGTCAGGGCTGGGCTTTGAGGAAGTGTGGGAACACGGTTTGTTACCACACGTACACAGGCACACTCCTATATGATTGGTAACATATAAAACACAGGTCTTATTTGCAATTAGTGTTTAATAGGCAATATTTATGTAAGCTTAAGGTTTGGTTTGTGGAGAGGTCTTTGTGTTGGACCTCTTCACCTCACACAGCTGTGTCCTACTCACTCCCTGCTTGTCAATACTAGAGATCCGAGATACTGTGAAACAAAAGATCAGGAGGCCTCAGGTCTGATAGGAAATGAATAACGTCTAGAACATTGTATTCATATTTTCTCTTAGTCTGGAGAGCTAGGCTCTTTGAAGTTACTTTGATAGTTGTATGTACTGTGAATGTTTGCGTATTGCGCATGTACTGCATACACCATGTTTAAGTGCCCTCATTCTTATGGCTTTTAATTACCATTGTAAATGCCGCCATACTTGTGCATAAAAAGTATGTATTCACAAAAACACACACAGGGGCGGGGGACAGGGGGGGAAGCCCACACTTTCTGATGATTTTTCAGGCAAGTAGTAGTTGTAGTACTTTTACTTTTAGTGTGTGTGTGTGTGTGTGTGTGTGTGTGTGTGTGTGTGTACATGTCTACTTTCACTTCAGATCAAAGGCAATGGGCATTTCATCAAACACTAACCAAGTGTGACAAAACCACCTGGAGGCAAACATCAGCCAATGAACCAGTGAGCTTTTTGGCATGCAGTAACCAATCCCTGCTCGCTGTGTCACAGCACTAGTGACCCTCTGGCCATGCCCTGTGTGCCTCCCTTGACATGAAAGGTACACACACACACAGGTTAAGCATTAGAAAGCTGAGGTATGAAGGCCTCTGTCTTGCAGTTAGTCTGTTTTTGTTCCCCTGCTGGTAATTCCTCTTGCTTTAAGAAGGTAGTCTTTGCAAATCAAACAACTTGAGAGGTTCTTCCTCTAAAAGTTAGGTTGGCTCAGATACAGTGTATGGGGTAAAGTCCCCGAGCTAGAGCTGGAGCTTTCTTTTGTGTATCTCCACTCATTATGACATGACACTGCAGTTGTAAAGGGCTTTCAGATGACATAACACAGTTTGTTTGACAGTCAGTGATACAGGACTTGTCATGGGCTACGTTTCCATTCAGTTTAAACACTCCCGAAAACTCCAGGACAGGTGATTCACTTCGATGAAGTTTACTGGGACTCTTGTGAAACTGTAACACAGTACAATAGGATATTTATATCATTAAAGAAGCTAAACACACAGTATCAAGGTAAGCAGCACCGCTTAGCTAACATAGCTGTGTAGCATATGAATTGAAACACAATCGAGCTAGCAGCAATAAAACATAGAGCTAACTTAGCCTAGCATAAACTAATTAGCCATCACGATATATGATAACTTAACATTACACAATGAAAAATGCTTACAGACGTTGCCTTAGCAAAGAGGGAGAATGAAAAGCAATCAACTCAGAAGCTGATGGGTGGAAGAGCTCACACATGACCGTAGCAGTTGGCACCACATGGCAGTTTTCTTTTTGGTTTCCCAGCATACACTGGTCCTAGGTTGCCACAGCTACAAAAATAAACAAACTACACTGAGCCGCTGAAACAAAGGGACAAACATATTTTCTAGGGGCATAACAGGACTACATACATGCCACTGTTCTTTGGTATCATTGCAAACAGCCTCTACTAAACACAGAAATGAACTACAAAATCGAATTAACTCAGTTCATGTATTTGTTTGACTTAAAATAACTAGTAGACAGTACATCTGATCAAATGTGTGTTTCAGTAAGATCAACTTGTTGGCTATTATTTGCTGAGCATTGCTAGCCCTCTGTAGATGTATTATCTTGTATCCAGATATTCACACTGCATCTCGATTCAGTCGTGATGGATCATTTGTGAGTAGATTTTGTCCCGCCGCTCACATTTTATTTAATCTGTGAGAAACTGGGGAAAAAAAAACTTGTTTGTGATCACACAGCTGGAGATTGCAGCGGCAGTTTGGTACCTCGGCTCGGGCATACACTTCAAACCCTCATTTAAGTTGTTTGGCAAAAGAAAAGCATCTGTATACAACTGTTGTTTGTTGCGCTTTGTACAAAGCTGACTAGGCAGTCTTTTAATGTGGCCTGAGATGCATCTGCTTTCACACTATTTTCCATTTTCACATGCGTTCCCTGACCATCGTTAAATGTGGTTTGACTGATTGGAACTTAATGTGTCTTCAATGTGTTCTTGTTGCATTCACATCCATATTTAGAGCTGTGCACTTGTGAGCAGACCACCCAAGATGTTTTTGTTTTGTTTTTGTGCAAAATATGCACACAGCTTTTTCAGATTTTCAGTTGGAAGTTACAGTTCAAACACGGTGCCTTGGTTGCTTCGTGCATCTTTTTTCATTGACACAAGGAGAATGTCCACAAGCAAGTGATCGTACAGTTTCAATAAAGAACCTGTATGTCCACCTAAAACTACAGAGTAGTCCTAACATTAAACTCAGACTGCCGAGAGTTAAACCAGGCATATGAGGCAGATAATACACATTTTCTAGTACATACGTTAACATTTTATCCATCCATTAACACTTGCTTTGATCCCGGCCCTCTAAGAATGTGTATTGTTCTCTCTCTCAGCCAGAAGATGGTGGTACGGGGTTGTTGTCATTGTTGTTGTCATATCCACGTCTTGTTCTTCTCTCTTATCCCCCCCACCCCCCCGTCACTGCTGACTTATTAGGTTGGTCCTCTGCCATTTGGAGATACACCAAATCACATTATTTAGTCGGTCATGGATTAGACGAGGAGGAGAGAAACATAGTCTGAGGGATGATCAAAGAGGGCAACATTCACCTCACACTGACAGAGAAACTGGGAGACAAAAGAGGTGGGGAGGCAGAGTGACGGCTCTGATTTTAGGGGCGATAGAGGTAGTTCAGGATGTTTGGTGTAGGATATTCAGGATATCGGAACTATGTGTCTGAATTTGTATTTGTCTGCTGTTGGTGTGTGTTTACATCATAGCTGCTGCACAAACGCACGTTAAAGCGTTTTCGAGATTGTGTTCTCGTGTTTGTGTGTGAACATATGTTATGTGTTTGCAAGCATGCACGCATGCCCAGACCTATCTGAGCTTCTGGTTTCCTCAGTGCACCATCGGGCCCGGCGGCAGAGAGAGAGAGCGAGAGAGAGAGTGAGAGCGAGTGAGTCACCCAGCAGATGAAAGAGTCAAAGTAAAGGCTCTGCCGTCCCAAAAAAACATCACACAGCTCCCTTGCTCACTTTTTGAAGTCATCCAAGAGGAGGGAGGGGAAGCGACACACTTTCTCAATCGCATTAAAACATGGCGTCAGGCAGCTCCCATCTTGTTGCACGCTATAGATTACACTTTGGTTTGAAGTGGAGTTTTAAGTGGGACACCATGATATTGGGCTCTGGTTTTTTTTGTTGGGTTAAGTTCCTAATTCAACTCAGAATCATCTTGCATCTGAACATCAGGCAGACTTATTGATCAAAGTAGGGATGGAGCCATAAATAGATAGGAAGTGAGGTCTACCTAGGCAGAAAACTAGAAAGACAGAATTTCATCACAGTTCTATAAAAGTTCAATGACCAGTTGGGGGGGGAAACGTTACATCTCATTTAGCAAAATAGCTTCTGTCATAGCTTAACAGTCATCTTGAGTTAAGAGCTTTGACTGTGTAATAGTTCACACAACTCTGTACACAGCAAACATGAATAAGACACTTTTTCTGTGGTTTTAAACTCTCTCCATTAACAGCCTCAAACAAACTTTGTTTTTCTTGACCTTATGATGCGGGTTAGGTGTTAAGCCCACTCACACTGATGCTAATGGATGTAATTGGTTTTCTGATACCAAGAACAGGCTGGTTGAGTGTTTAATCACTGAACATTTGGTATGTTGAGTGTGTTGTCTGTTTGTTTGATGTATGTTTATCTGCGTATGCCTGCATCTGTATTTGTGTGTGCCCACGATGCATTATTTCTGTGTACTGTGTGTGATGCGGCACTGACAGTGAGCAACAGGGATTAAGAGAATCACTACTGACAGGCAGTGATGGCAAACTGTGAAATGGAAATAAAGCCTCTTGTCATTACAGCACCAACTCCCTCTCTCACACACGCAGATACACAGGCAAGCGCAGCAAGACAGCAATGATTACAGACAAACGAGCAAATAACATCTCCCAGCTCTCCACTCACTGGCAGATTGAACTCAAATTGTTGTGAGAGACATACATAGTGAACAGAGGATTGTTTTGAATGCTTACAAATGGTGCTGCCACTAAAACTGAAGGCTTCGTGGAGCAACAGGGAAAAGCTTCTCTTTGAATGGGGGCGGTGGGGGGGGTTTCGAGAAATGAACCCCACAATTCAGCTCCCTAGTATGCAATACACAGCATGTTGTGGGCAGGGTGAAACCACCAACACCTGTTAAAAGACTGTGTTTTGTGCCTAAAAAACACCCCTGCCCTTTACCTAACCACCTGTCAGTCGGTATTCACATTGTGTCCTTTCTGTGTGTGGCGTGACGTCATCCTTGCGTCAGTGGTTTTATATCTTTTGTCAGAGTTCAGCTTTAGGATGACACTGAAAACCGTAATTGCTCTTTAGCAATGTGAGATGATTGGAAACATATCGGAGAAAAATGCCATATGGAGGCAATATCCTGTCCAGGACTACAGACTGCACGGAGCAGATTCTGAAAATATTGGAAACCGACACACTCTTGACTTGAACGCACACACACAGGAGTTATCATGTGTTGGCAATATTACTCTATTGAGAAATGTTTACTTTGGTTTCTTCCTCCTTTAGCAACAATACAACGGCCCAGTCCAAACAATGGGACTGCACACCTTGAGCAAATTTCACTTCCAAGCAGCTATAGATAAAAAGTGTTTGCCCTTCGTGCACCCTGTTTGTCCATTGTCTGTGTTTGAATAAGTGTCACTTGTGTGCATATCTTTAAGTGTGTGTGTGCATGTGTGCGTGCGTCAGAGAGAGTAAGTTGTCACCTTGTTTTCTGACACTCCTGTCAGTCCCTTTTTTAGTGTATCACTATGTGTCTATATGTATATGTGTGTGTGTGTGTGTTTGGCCTGGTTCCCACTGCAGATTATTAATTAAGTTCTGGTAAGCGGTGCATGCCTTGCCTTCAGATCCACTTCCACTCTCTTTAACACACACACATGCGCGCGCACACAAACACAAACACGCACACACTTCAAAGAAGCCGCTCTCCACACAGCAAGGATTAAGAGGCGATTGAAGAGCCTGATACAGCCTCAAAGTGCCTTCAGCACAAAAATGCCTTTGGCAGGGCACAGGTAGTCTCTTTGAAAGTGCTTTCACACACACACACCTTTACACATATATAGCTGGGCTTTTAATTTAGCTGACTTTCCCTTTGTATTTGTCACACTCCTGTTGGGCTATTTTTCCTTGCATGTACTACCCACATCTTCATCTATTTCCAGCCATTTTTAATGTGTGTCTAGATGGTTGAGCTCTATAATGTATGAAGTTGTATAATGCTTCCTGCTGAATTCCCCCGAGCGGCTGTAGGTAAAAGGAATAGGCTAGTAGCAAGCTCTTTATGTTTTTATGAAACATCTGAGCCTGTTTGCATGTCAATATGGCCATATGTTTCCATGAATACACTCACATGTGAACACAGTCATATAAAGTACACACGCCTCATTACCTCACAGCCAATTGCAAAGGTGATGCTGATGTATAACTTTGATGTCAAC